GTAATTTTCAGATACAGGTCCTTCTTTTGGCATTTATCAATTCTAGAAGGCGTCACGCCACGAATAATTTATCAACACTGTAGAGAACAATCACTAAGCTGTGTGGATCAGATTTTGCCTGAATGCTATCTCCTGTATTACATGTTCATACAATTCAAATTATAGTCACCAGCATACCTCTAGCAGTGAATAACTGGTCCGACTACATTCGTACGGGGTATTATTAGGATAATTATCGTGGCATCAATAATTAACTTGGCGTTCATTAACTATTTACAAAGACGACACTGTCATTACTAAGAATATAATATCAAGAATACAGAGGGAGCCAAATGTGCAAATGCAAGTTTCAAAAATGGAAATCGAAAGTGAAAAATTTTGAAATATGGTATCTATGGTTTTTCTTGGTTATTAAAAATTTCATTTGTGTCGCAGCTTTATAATTATTCAATACCATCAATTGTTAGGAATTCATGTGACTAGACAGTTAATGCTCGTTTCCTTGATACTTATTTCCAAAAAATGTCTTACGAGAGCTCTCTTATGTATGTACAGTCTGATAAAATCAAAATTTTAACAATTTTGGTCTATCAGTCAGGGTTAAAATCGCTTCAAAACGAACTAATCTTAAAATACCCTCTGGGGTCTTGCAAAACAAGGTTTAAACTTTCAGGCTAGACACTTGACGAAATCAAAAACCATAACCCTTAACCGAACTTCCGAACATTGAATATCCCCATTTTTGAGGCTTTTCAAATAATAAGTCGCTTATAACTCGACAATGGTCAGCTTTAGAGAAAACATTGTCAGAGCAAAAAAAGTTGTATTTGATTTAAACAAATTTTATTTAAGTTACCGTGCGTTATTCTTAAAATCACTATCGCCAAGGTACCGATATTATTAAACATAAAACCTTGCTCTATAAGACCTTAAAGGGTGTTTTGAGATAAGTTTACTTTAAAGCGATTTTAACATTGTTTTTCAGTCCACAATTGGTGAACTTGGGATGTTGTTGAATAGTATCTGAATGGCGATTCTCAAGCTAAAATTAATGTATTCTGACATCCATGCAGTGAGTATATATATATTGTTTTACTTATTTTGGTAACGGTCCGACATATTGGGTACACCATTTTCTGTTCCTGACATGAATCAGAGAGATTGGTCACATATTTTCGAACACCCACCCTATACATCATAAATACATCACTTTGTGTAAAGCGCAACATAATTCGTTTCGTCCTTGAGCATGAGCTGTAATCCTGTGAAGAAATTTATTTCTTAATGAACAATTAGTATCGATTGGTAATTATATGGAACCGATTCGAAAAATGTTTAGATTTTGTATCCGAAACAATAGGCGTAATTTAGATAATATTCGTAATAGATAAAAGTTCCGTTGTTACTTAATTAGGGCAATTAGTATTGTTGATAAAAGTAAAAAAACATTTTATGAGTATTTGTTTCATTATTGCGGAGTAGTTATGAATTTTGTTTCTTGGTATCGGATATGGTTGAAAAATTAATTATTGTTATAGATTTTATCAGAGTTGAATACGTGGTAAGTCAATAAATATTCAATGTATAATTATAAATGGTTCTCAGTATCAAAGATATTATTCTTTATTTTAATACTCTCAGTATTAGAGATATTATTTTTTATTTTAACGCTCTGTTCATTCTGCGAAAATTGAAAGTTCGCCAATTTTGGGCCTAACCAACTAACTTATATATCGCTTTAAGTTAATTTTAAAACCTATGGAGGCTTTTAAGGGAAGCTTTTAGCTTTAATTTGGATACTTGATAACCTCAAAAATAACGATTTTTAACTTAGTTTTTGATCTTTGAAAATGACCATTTTTATGGTATTTCAGACATCACATGGCTTGTATCTCGGAAACGACTTACTTTAGAGAAAAGTCACTAAGAGCATTTCTTGTTTAGACCAAGAGGTGGTATGGATTGTTATTCTCTGACCCATTCTCAATTGGTATCTGTTCATAAAGTGCAGTCCTCACATTTTGCAAAACCAATGCCATCGCCTTGTCTATTTTCCTTAATTTACTAAACCGTGAACGTGCAAAACAGTGTTATTAAAACACTATTTTATGTTTATTAGACACACAGCTTGATTTGCATATTTTTTGCTCGATATAAATAATGCATTCTTCGTCAAAAAGTGAATCAATTCCGGAAAAGGGCAAAACCTAATTATCCGCATAATTTGTTTCTTTACAGCAATCTTACTGGTCTATTAACCTGGCATCAAATTAGTTGTTAATATGGACTTTCACAAATGCTTATACTTTCTGCGAGGTTTTTATCGAAAAATAATAGCCTGTCATCATCGGATGGTAAGCATGCGTCTAGCAAAATGATCAAAATATAGTTAAGCCGTTAGTTGCACTGAAAAAGTAGAGGAACTGAAAATTTTGATACATGGTGCTCATAGATATTCGTCCTTCGTTCCAAAAATGTAGGCTAGGACTGATTGACAAACGCATAAATAAAAATTCATGTTGGCGTCTTTCCTCTTATTTTGCACGTCTACTGAAATCGCGTAAAATTTCTAAAATGAGATATGTTTTTTGGATGTTAAATGGCATGCCAACAAATTTGTCGGTCTTTTGGTCTGTCTGTCTGACTCTATGTCAGCTATAGCTTGGAAAGTACCCCTCGGATTTGGATGAAAATTCTACACAAGGTTACTACCATGCCAAGTACGATAAAGCTTTGTAGTTTTTGTAAATCGGTGTAGCGGCTGCGAAGGAAAATGTCAAAAACGAAAAAAGATTCGCTCAGAGCTCGTTTTTTGTCGTTTCCGATGCCCCCGATCTTTTTGGGGATAGGGATTGCGGGGGTCAATATTGAACTGTTTAAATTTGATACACTTACGCGCCAACCCCAGTAATTCTAAACATCTTTGGACATATTTCACTCCAACAGTCGCGTGTCGATACGTGCGGCGTAGTCCGGTTGATGTCGTGCGTCGCAGACGGCAGTTGCTTTCGTGCTGTTGTGGGCTGTATGCTCCAAAGGTCAATATCGTCATCCAGGCGAGATTAGTCATAGCAAAGATCACTTGCATCAGCACGAATTACTCTAAGGGGAGGGAGACTCATTTAATTTTTTGTTATACTCGTTCTCAGAGCGGCTAACTTGTACCCAACATAAGCCTCTACGAACTATTTGCGGCGTTGCGTGGGAGGTAAAGAATCAAATTGATTCAAATCTGAATTGTGAATTATATCCTAACATGGACTCAGTTCCTGGTTTGCTTCAAAACTTTTAGATATGTTTGTGCCGGGTCTCTACATATCTAGTAGATTTGATTTCCCAGCATTTTTTCAATTTGACTGAAATAACTTCGAAAAGTCCTTCAAATAACCTGTTACAGACAAACTGACCTCAGATTTTACAACCCCAAGAACCTACGTACAAATCAATTAAACTAGAACTAAACCAAAGATTCGATGCAGTAAACAAAAATACACCAAAAATATGGTAAATGTGGTTTAGCAAAAAGAATTGAACAACGCACTCATTCACAAAGAAACTTACATGTAGTGATTATGCTATACATATATACTCTATTCACTCTCGGACGCTCATGGTATGCCTAGTATTGAAATTACCCCCGTCAACTCCCACAGCTGTTGAAACAATACTTGGAAAAGTCGCACGCCAGCCACAGGCGGGAAGGAGGGCAGTATCGGAAAGAAACTTTCTCGACAGCAAAGTCATCCCCTTATTACCGCGGTAAGTAGAGGGGTGTTTGTAGACGTCCGGAAAAGTGGAAACCTGCCGGTGGAAACTCGAGGGAATTCATTCGGCCGAGCAGGAGACAATCTGCGTGTAAATGGGGTTGCGTGACCGGTAATAATTGCTGCTATAATCAGTCGAAATTGTCCTTCTTTTGTTACAGCAATAAAGGGTAACGGTATATGCGTAGCGATGAATAGCTACGTTGTGTTTTACCGTTTTTAGTGGAATTGATTTCTTATGCGTGCGTATGACATAGGTAGCTGGCATTACACTAGCTAACAACGGTTTTATTACGATACCTTGACGACAGATTTCGTCGATAGTGCTGTGTTTTTATTAAATCACCGGTTTCTTCTTTCTGCTGGTTACTCAACTATTACTTCTATATGCTGAGCCATGAAAAATCAAATACATGTGTTCAAACGACTGGAAATCTCCATAACAAGGCTAATTTAGTCGTTTCTGAGTCTCACAATGCTTGCCTACATTTTTTTTAAACAAAACATGCAAATCAGTAGATGTTTTAGGAAGTCAATTCAGTGGTGTCAAAATGCTTTACTTTCTTCTGGATCACCAATAATAAGTTGATATAGTTTGGATCATGACAATTTTTGTATGTATTACTGGCTACGTTGGTGATTCATAAATACTGGCAATATTTCTGTGGTGGGAAAAAGTTCATACAGGTATAGATCCTAAAATATAGGGTGTTTCAGATTCAATTAGGATCATTCTACTAATAATCCTGTGGTGAGATATAGTATAATGCTTTATACTCTCTCTTGTTAGACTGAACAAAGTCTTGAATGCCAGACTACTAATTTCAGCTGATTTTCAAAGAAGAGTTGAAGTTTCTGATATGGATTTTACCTCAATTATTCAAAAATGTTCAAGAGAGGCGATGTAAAACTGAATATCTGATACAAAAATGCAATAGATGATGTTTCAAAAAAGTAGAAAATAAGCTTCCTTATTTTCTGTAGATTTCAAAATTTTCCCAATTTCTACGCCACACATTGCCTATGATGTCAATACTACGTGTACAATAGTTTAAGTTAAAATATTAATCGACTCCGAATGTACATTTTTTTTTCGAGTTCAAAATTATAACTTCAACACCCTGCATCTCGCTAAGGGGACGTCTTAGGATCAATATTTATATGAGCTTTACACGTCATTTTTGTTTTCTGATTTATGTCCTAGGAGTACGGGAAGGGAGGGCAAAATGGAAGGAGTAGGCAAGATGGAAACTACCAACCAAACTCAAACCTCGCAACAAAGTACCCGAGTCCAGACGCACACACAGGCATCTTGCACTTACGAACGACAGCTCAGTTCGGCTACTTCTTATTTTCGCAGCAAAATATTGCGCAGTTATTGGATTTTTGTGATACGGTTCTTTAAACAAGGTGAGTAATATTACTATTATGTATCTATTAGGAATAGGTTTTGTGAATTGATATTTAAATAAGAGAAATAATAATTGATATTATTATTCTAAAGGGACATATGGGCAAGTTGGAAAATTGCAATTGAGGGCAAGTTGGAAGAGTTTCCATCTTGCCCGCGTACCTACTTTGGTTTCTGCTTTCAATTTCTATAACTAATATTGTTTTTTTTTATTGTTTTTAGATGGTGAACATGTATATAAAGAAAAGCAATAGAGGTTCTTGGACTGAAGAAACGATGCAGATGGCGAGAAACGAAGCTAAAACTATACCAATAAGCTCGGCATCAAAAAAATATGGTATTCCAATTGGAACTCTACATCGTCATATTAAAAAATGGGACTCTACCAAAAACCTAGGATGGATTAAACCTGGTTTTTCAAAAGAGCTGGAGCGGAAACTTTGTGATCTTGCAATGGAACGTGATATGCTTTTTTATGGTTTAACAAAGCAAAGTCTACAACAATTAGCTTATCAGTTGGCGAAAGTAAATAATATTCCGCATCCTTTTACATGTGAAAAAGCTGGAAATTCATGGCTTGATGGTTTCATGAAAAGACGTCCCCAATTAACATACAGCACACCAGAACCCACAGCTTTAGCTCGTTGTTCTGCTTTTAATCGCACGCAAGTGTATCGGTTCTATGAACCTATGAACCTGTGGAGCGTTATATCTCACCATAACTTTTTGACACGACCCGATGACATCTATAATATGGATGATACTACTGTCGAGACCAGTGCTTCCAAACCTCCAAGAGTTATTTCTGTAAAAGGTAAAAAACAAGTAGGAGTTATAGCAACAGCTGAAAAGGGACAACTTACCACAGTAATATGTGCTTGCAGCGCCACTGGTCGATTCATCCCACCTTGCTTTATATTTGGACAAAGCAAAAGAATGAATGAACGCCTTTTAGATGGAGCTCCTAATGGTTCTCAAGCTTGGGTTTCAGATTATGGTTGGATAAATAATAGCACTTTTAACAACTGGCTACAAACTTTTATTGATAAAACAAGGCCAACAGAAGACCGACCAGTTTTATTAATTTTAGACAATCGCACTACTCATCAAAACTTGGAAGCTTTGAATTGAGCTCGACAAAAGCATGTAATTATGGTCAGTATCCCCCCCCCCCCATACGAGCCATAAGCTACAACCATTGGACGTGTCAGTTTACGGTTCATTCAAAGTGACTTTTGAGCAAGCACTAGACACTTTTCCAGAGAATCATCCCGGAAGAAGAGTAAATCATTTTGATATAGCTAGACTTGTCTGCACTGCCTATGAAAACAGTGCTACTGTACAAAATGCCACAAGTGGGTTCAGAAAGGCTGGTATCTTCCCATTCAATAGACATTTGTTTACAGATTTAGATTTTGCACCGGCCACTGTTTATGAAAACGCTGCAGTTATTGAAGAGCAATCAAATACCACTGTGACAGATGAAGCAGACAAAAATAAAGACCCTGTCGTTACGGAAAACTCAGCTTTAAATAATGATAATACTACAGTAATTGAAAATCCGTGTGATGTCATCAATGATCCTGTTGAAAACAACAATACTGATGAACCACCCGCTGTGAACGATAGTGAAGACAAGCAGAAAGAGGAAGACAAACTCAATTTTGATGATAAACAAAATGAAATGACTGAAGATAGTATACTTGAAACTCTTTCCAGTGTTGTTGATAAGAGCTGGGATCAACCAGCCACTTCATACTATATTCCTCCAATTCAAATTCTTCCATCACCAAAAGTTACTCATACTATATATAAAGAAGCGGAAAGTGAGATGTCAGAAATCAGAAACTTAACCAGTTCTCCATTTAAAAAATGCTATTGAAATGAAAAATGAGAATAAAGCGAAACCAAAGTTATCATTTAATCGGACCATTAAAGGCAAGGAAGATAATAGCAAGGAAATAGGAACCTACGAGAATAAAATAAAAGGTAAAGGAAAATCGAGAAAAATAGAAAAAGATAAAAATACTGTACAAAATTTTGAGCAGTCTTCACAAAATGATGTGTTCTGTGTATTATGTGGTGAACTTTTTGTGGGACGGCCCACAGAGGACTGGGTACAATGTCCTGTATGTAATGGTTGAGCACATGAATTGTGTACCGACGCAGAAGATGGTAGTTTTATTTGTGTAAACTGTAAAATGTAGAGATTTCCTGTACATTCCATCTTGCCCGAACGAGCTTTCCATCCTACCCTTACGGTAAGGGCAAGATGAAATTTTTGATGTGCTTTTTTAATTACTCATAAAAATAATTCTACTTATTATTAATAATGTTTAATCGCTCAATTTTGTAACTGAATAAGGTCTTCTTCAAGGGCGATTAAAATAAAAGTTTTATATTACGTCGTTTTATTTTCTTTACATCATAAAGCTAAGCCTTCCATCTTGCCCCCCTTCCCCTATTTACACATTTTTGCAACACTGTATGTATACAAAATTATGAATCGATTCCTCCATCTGTTCCACTTTTCGATTTCGTGAGTATAACAGCAACATCCTGTATCTTGGTAAGCTTTTATAAACTTTTCTCGATATTTTTTATCGTCGTAGAAATATTTACACTGTTAGTATCGCCGCGGGTCAATCAAATTCGAAAAAACTTTAGCAACAGTCCATGCTAACACGTTTCTAGGCACAGTTGTCAGATTCATAATGTGTACAATGAAACTATTTAACATGGTTGAAGGAGCCAAAGTCAAAAAACAGGTTTAACTACAACATGACGAGTATAATCCAACTGAAAAACTGGATCTCTATTCTCATTCCTTCTATCCAGGAAATTGTAAACCTGACACCAACAAATTACCTTTTTACTTTTTCCGTTATAAATATGGAATTTAAAACGCTCTGTACACAATAACGTTGTATCGTTTTTTCTCTTGGTCATTATATCACCATTAAATGTAGAAAAGACAATAAAATGATTGCTACGACAAACCAGTTCGTGGTTAATTCAATTATTCGGCGGCAAAAACCGAACTAAGTATGTTTTTGTCAGGTGGACTAATTACTAAATCACCAAAAATGAACAAATTCCGTGAGCTCGGTCTAGATACCGGCGTGAAAAAACAAATCGCTACGATGGACAAGACACCCGCCTGCTTGATTTCATTTGGCACAGGGCGCATTGGCATACCGACTACATTTTCCAACGGGTCTAAATAAACTACTGTCATAAAGACAGTGAGAATAGATACTAGAAACATGAACAGTTTAAACATATCTGCTGTAATGTAGTCAAACCAAAGGTTTAAATTTCTTTGATTAAATTTTTTTATTTTACCTGGCTTTTGATTCAAAAGCTATATTTTTGACATAACACTGCAGAATGCATCATCACTTCAACTGTAATACGCATGTTCTTTTCGCTATTCTGTTCCATTATCAGATCATGGGATACATTTTTTTGAAGCTAATCACCATAAAGTGGCTGATTTTTTAAAAACTAAGAATCACCGCCTTTCCTCTACTTGATGTTGGCAATGTCATTTCGAATTTTCCATTTTTATGGGTTCACTGATGTTTCTACATTTACACTGTGGTAGCGATGATCTATGAAATTTTATTTATTTCACTAGTTGTTGACCAAAAGAATACTATTATACTTAGACGTACTGACCAATCAACAGCTTCATCTTATCTGATAGTCTGTTGTGCTTTATACTGGGTGTTAAGTTTTACCACTCTAGCCATTGCGGAACATGAAATGATAGTGATATCATGCTCAGTATCAGTATAAAAAGTGTTATCATTTTCAAAAATATGCCTTTTTCGATTCCGCCCATGACCACACATTGAGAACAAATCTTGCTATATTTTTAAACACCTACGATATAGCTGATCATATTATATGAAGTAACAACACTGATCTTAAGCTATCCTTTGACGTATTGGCCGCAGTCGGAATAATGAATCTAGATTTCTATACAAGAGCACTTATCTTTGTACGAAAATATACTTTTGCTAGGTTCACGAGACTGTGATACTTCTGCCCGTATTCTGCTGACGTTCATGTCCTTACAGCTGCACGAAAATGAATGACAATCGACGTAAACAATCTAGATTGTAATCAGTTTGTGTGTACTATGCAGATAGCAGCAACAAGCAAGGCGCGAATGAACATTAGGAAAGATCACGAACTCGTCTTATCTTGATCGTTTTCTGAATTTCTTTGATTGTTTTCGTGGCAGGGATGTTTCGGAATCGAGAATTGGAAAAGTTTAAATGCGACTTTGGAGGCTATTTCGGCTGATGGAATGTATTGAAAAACAGCTTACGAAGTAAGTACAACAGCTTATCGATTTATTTAGAATCGGTGTGTGAGCGTTGACCATTTCAAAAAGAAAACTAGGAACAGATTGATTTCCGTATAACAAATTCACAGAAATACACTTTGGAAACATACTTGTTACAAAGAAGTTGCAAAAGTCTCAATGAAGAAGAAAAGTAGGAACAGCTTGCTTTCAATATCATAAGTTCACAGAAAGACACTTTCAAAACATACGTGTGATGAATAACTAGTAAAAGTCTCGACTATATATTTCTGGCAGGCCACAAAAGAAATATGATCAGAAAATAGTAGAGACATGTCAAGACTAAAAACGCAATAGGGATAATGCAAAAATATCTGTGAAACATATGAATACAATATTAGTGAATCGTTAAAGAATGATCACTGTTATGCTTTTGTTTTATTTGACAGTAATTTTAATCAACAAACAGGACGGTACAGATCGGTGACGATGTATGAGGTTATGGTCAACTATTATTATGGGCTACAGATCGAAACAGATCATCAGATGATTGCCTAGCCTAATTCGTTCTATAATAGTGTCGCTGGTGGCACTAAGAATCCAATTTTCTGCTAGCACGCCCACTGGAGCAAAGGGCCACGAAGAGAACCTCAATGAAGTTTTTTTATTACAACACTTCTAACGTAGGAAGGAACCCATCTCTTCGTTTCCCTGCCCCTCAGTTAACGTGCATCTTGGTGACGATAATGTGATAGTTCTTTTCTTATGCTTTGTCAGTCGCTCACCTTATCAGACTGACAGAATCTCACTAAAAGCACCTACACTTTACGTATTTGTGGAGAGTCCAGGTAGAGGCATGGGTAATTAGTTTGCAAAATCACAAAGCGCGTGCTGACGCATCTGCGACGACGACAAACAATGAGGCAAAATAAGAAGGAGACCAAAGAAGAAGAAGAATACAGTTTGGCGGGGCATCGGCAGCAGCAAAAGTAGCAGCCATGCAGTCGAGGAAGGTGGTTTCTGGTCGGCTGAATACACTGGTGTTCGTACAGGGATATCGAAGGGATATTTGGTCCATTATCAGTAGCTAAAATGTCCTGTAAAGTCATTTTATTGAGGGATATGCTGAAGAATGAACCTTTTCACATGCCTACTGGCGAGGAAGTATTGTAATCGTAACAAATTTGGAAAATAAGATATTTCGATTTTTCGATGTTGAACGACATGAACATCACGATCAACCATGTCACTCATTTCCGTCGGTTTGTCTCCAAATCCCTGACACTTCTGTAACTTGTAAAGGACTACTCGGAATTTAATTAAATTTTCCCACACGGCTAAAAACGAAAAAATTAAAAATCTCCAAAACTTCGTTTTTCGCGTTTCAAAGGATTCTGATCATTTTTTAAATAAATTTTAGGGATGAGAAAAGGGGGAGAGGGTGGTGGTTGGGAAGGGTGTGTCGCAATTATGCAGGATTCTAGTCCAAGTTCCTAATAAACTTTGCAATAATTTGGATATCGCTCCCCTTCCTTCTTAATTTGTCAAGTAGGTGGCTCTGCCATGATTAAGATAACAGCTCAATACACACTCAGTCTGTTTTGTAGAAATATCTTGAATAACCATC